GTTCCAGATGGGAATGTCCTGAATGCTACTCAAGAACGGATGCCGACAAATGTCCTTGTTGTGGAGCACCCAAAGGAGGTGACAAAACGCCTGCATCTAATACTAAGTACATTTTATCAGATCTATACTTTCTGCTTCTTATTTTCGTATTCTTATTATTTGAAAGAAATCTTGATAACAAAGGGCTTTTAACTGTTGAAATCGCTAAGATCGGTTCTACCTGCTTCAACCATTCCTCTGGGTGGAGCAAATGGTGCGGCAGCTCAACAGAAGTTTACGTTTGGTTTAAGCGCTGCGGCAGCAGCAAAAGATACACCATCTTCAGCCTCAGGTACTCCGAAGTCAACGTTGTTTGGGTAAGTAGTCATGCAATAGTATTTTCTCTTTTCTACTTGCACCTTTCTGTTGTGGAGTTAACTTGTTCTTATTTGCATGTACACTGCATTGCTTCAGAGCTTCCTTGGCTACGAATGCTTCTGGGTCCACTCCTACCGCTGGATTCACTTTTGGATCCAAACCATCCATCTTTGGTGGTGCTACTACAAAATCAGGTATTAATTTACCCAGCTCCTAACTTGACTTTATTCTTCTCTCAATGGTTACAAATTTCGGAGTGGTAGTATCAACCACAAGTCACGTGAAACTTAATCACAGGAAAAAGTCACGCAGTCCTAATCATAGAAAATAAATTCTTATGAAAAGAATTATTAACATGAGGTCAGTCGACTTGTAACAGAACATAACACAAACGCTTGCAAACAAGGGAGCGACGCGCCGACACCTCTGAGTCCCGTGCGCGGAAAAGAGTATCAGCTATAGCGGCAACAAATAGTATGTAAGGTCCAGGTTTTCCTTATATTTCTCTTTCAGAAGCAAAGTTTTAGGAGGAACCTGAACAAGAGTTGGCCTCCTATTCTACGAAGTTAGTAAGACTCCAGAGTATTCTCTATTTGCGTGCAACAACATGAATTTATGTCTTTTTCCGTGAATTTGTGTATTCATGCAAATTTGTCACATTTTCCATCACACTTCATGTTCTTTGCATTATTACCAAATTATCTCGAAGATCTCTGGATGAGAAGTTGCAAGCATTGCCCTCTTCTTTGCTGCGCACCGCTTCATTGGGTTTGTCACCATCGGCTTTGCTTCGTTGCGAGGACGTGATCAATGGTCGGCGTGATTACGATTCATGCGACAAAACTGTATAGAAAACGAAGATGCACAGACTATCAATGAAAATAAGGGAGACCAATCGTTCTATTAACTCTGTGGAATAGACAATCAAACAACTGCCAGAGTGATCCGCTAACACGTTGTACTTGGAAAAGAGATTTTTTGAAGAAAATATC